AACCAAGCTGTGTCAAACTTATTGCCATCTATAACAAAGGACTACTGTGAAACATAACTCTTTTACGAAATATACTATAATTGTACTTTTTGAAAGCAGTGTCAAATCATTGACATTGACTTGGTATTCTACGGTATGAGAAACGCAGAAAACTTACAATATATATAAGCCATAAATTAGATCCTAATCTAAACTTATCAGTTTGATAGTTGCTAGACAGACTATTTGAGTGCAGATTTAGCTCTGTCATTTTCCTTTCCCTTTTTCAAGCTGTTGTCTTTTCCACAGATATTCAAGATTGGGTTTTTCAATAATTTTACAACAAATTGCATTCCAATTACAATATAACACAGGTAGAATAAAATTGAAAATAAACTTAAGCGCAACCATGAATACAAACTCATCGGAGATTTATGAAAGACCAAAGCCTGGCAGATGAGATCCAGAATGTAAAATTTTGGCCAAGCTCTTACTAGTTGCCAAGAATTTTGCTGGTCAATGAAATTCACAAACTAAGTTCCCACTTACTGAGTACACAAGGGTCATCTAACCAATGCTTTGTTATTCACATGGCACCAGGAACCTGAGCTACATTAGCAAGCGCTGACGGCCAACAGGAGCATCTCAGTAGAGCAAAAGAACTCTATGTACAAAACTAAGCACAGAAACACAGAGAAACGCACTCCCAACCCAATGTTTAACTGAAGTTAAGCTCTCCTTTGAAAGCAGGAGAAATCTTGGAAGCATTCAGACTGCGCACACATTGGCACGTTATGGATTTACATAAGCAAATACATCCATTTTACACTCATGTGATAAAGGAGGATTTTAAAAGTATCTTGTTAATCATCAGAAGATGTTTAATGTCTTCGTTATCACCTACTTTGATGCTATTTCATAAAGCTACAACATAAAGATTTCAGATGAAGATTGTACCTTCCAGATGGAAACGAAAACATAACAACACTTATGTGCAAATACTGGAGAAAAATAAGAAAGAAAAGCAGATTTTCCAGAGAAAACAAGTTCTTGTTCTCTTGAGGATCCTCCCTCAACTGCCAAAACTATGACAACAAAAACCACTTTGGAGATAGATTTAAGTGAGATTTTAAAAGCGTGTGTTTTGGTGGCATTTTTATTTTGCCATTCTCCATGTAGGCTAATTAGCACAGGCTAAACAGAAACAAAAGCACACAACCCACCTGTGTTTCCTGTACTTCCTACGCTCTCTGACATCCTGGAACTTCTCAAGCTGAGGACGCATTTACACGGCACATTGAGGGCAGATGCCAAATTCTGCTGCCATGCAAACCACCTGAAGCACACGAGATGTGTTCAGAGTGCCATGCCTGCTGATGTCCTGCTGCACCTATTGCAGCCTGCTAGAAACAGGAGGGGTCCTGTTGCTGACTGGAAAAAAAAAACCAACTTCTCCATCCTATATCCTCTGGAAAAAGAGGCCCTGCTGAGTTCATCTGGACATAGTTTTAACTGGAGAAACTGGAACTACTTTGACGCCCCGATTATACTTTTAACATTTGAAGGTTGGAAATGGGTGAGAGGAATGTGTAGCTGCTTGGTGCATTAAACACTAAATGCAGACGGAAACAGAAGAGTGGACTGGAAATATGTAAGATAAGTAAAGGAGTCCAGCAAAATAATTTATTACAGTTTTGCAAATTGTCACATGGATCCCTCCTTAAACGACTGCAGTGTTTGCGCAACACATCTCTCCTACAGCTATCCAACACATTTAACCTCACCTTTAACCGCCTTCCTTGCCTCCACCCACTGTTCAATCTCTGTCTTGACTGCTTCTAACATTCTGAACATCTGAAGAGCTGCCAAATTTCTGAAGCAACCTATTTCCAGAAATGTTTCTTTACTTCAAGATATGCAATTTCTCCCAAAACACTCCTCTGGAGCAAAGCCCGGGTCTGGCAATATGTTACCCAGGATCAGGGGAGGTTTACACTTCAATACCTATTCCACCTGTCATGATAATACCAGGCATTTTCCACCCACGATGCAGGAGAGAATTCAAACTTCCTGGGAGAAAAGCAGCGTTCAGCCTTGGGAGCCATCCAGGCACAGTTATCAGGAAGCGAGAAGCTATTTCTGCTGGCTTGCAGGAATTGATAGCATCATTTAACGTCTTGTCTCTATATGCAAGTGTGCATAACGCAGTTTTTCCACAGCTGCTGTGATGTAAATAAATTCAGTATTATCTTCATTTTACATGGTAGGATGTAATATAAATAGTACTGGAAGTTACGCTGGGCATAATTCAATATTTTAAGATATCCACCCTTTTCAAGTGCAAGACACCCATATAGCTGCTTAACACACAAACTACTTGACCTGCTTAAGGCTTGGTAAGTACAGAAACATAAGTAGAATATGGTATTTATGGAAATAACATCACTGAGTCCATCGTTTGTCACAATCACAAACGGAGGCTTCACTTGGAACACTCTTTTTGAAAAGTACAGCCACAGTATATCGATCAATGAAAGACATATTAGTATGTGATAGGTGAAGAATCACACAAATACCTGCAGTTAGATGCTCACTTCAAAGCACTAACTACACCTGACAAGCCCCTGCGTATAAAATCCTGGATTTCTGCACATCCTATTACCGAATCAGACAAAATCATTTGCTTCATTTAGATTTAGTAGCGCAAAGAAGATCTCTTGGTACCTATAATTGCAGTTCAGGCTTTTCTTCTTAAGGTAGCACTTCAGCTACAGACTGCACTCAAACCACATCTTTCCCAGAAAAATGGCATCCACCCTTAGAAACACCTAGCAGATACAACCTGAGCGTTCTCCTCGCCGTAAATACAGCTATGGGCAGAATGCCTTCTATTTTGTTTCAGCAATAAATCACTTCCCTGACTTGAGTTAGTAATGAGATTTTTAATCATGTGGATTGAACACATCCTCAAGTTAATAAAAAAGTATGGCTTCCTCTTTATCTTTAATAAAAGATTTGTACACTGCTCAAATGATTAGTATTACATTTTTAAAGAACCTGAGATTGATGCTTTTCAATTCTGCTTTCCATTTTTCCATGCTTTTATAATTCAAAGGTAATACAGGGAATAGTTAATAATTCATAAGGTAATTTTAAGGCTTTTATTCAGAAACCTTTTGCCTATTGACTTAGGGATGTGCCGTAAAAATATTCAGGTATTAATATCTTAGCAAGTGGCAGATCTATACAGATGAAATCTCCAAATTTATGCAAGTCAGGACTTGTGCTTAGGAATCAGAGCATATCATTACTGCCTTTCAGAGAGTACAGGGGGAGGAAATAGCTTTACGGGACTATTTAAATCAATATATTTCATTTCTTCACACAGTTCTGCTATTTTTTTGCCCTTGTTTGCAGGTTTATTCTTGATGGAGTTATTTTTGCAGTTGCCTAAGAGACAAAGGAGCTAGCTGCACTTTCTTAAAAGGTAAAGTGCACGGGACCCAGGCAGAACTAATGCCCTGGGAAAGCTCTGCTGGACAGAACCTGATTCACACGTTCTCTTCGAACAAAAATCTGGCCTCGTTGGAGATGAAAGTGTCAAAAGGGGCTCTCAGTAAGCACAGCCCAAGTGTGTGGTGTGCCAGAAGCAGCCTCCACCCCATCTCCACAGTACTTTTCCAAATAGTGGCATTTCTGACTGAGCCCATTTTGAGATCACAACAAAGAACCGGATAATTCCATTTGGGGGGTGTCAGTATTTGGTTATTGAATATGCATTTCTTAGATTTTTTTTTAGCTCACTTGAACTCGTGCTTTTCCTTCCAGTCAGATTTTAACCTTCTCTCAGAACTGCTCATCAGACTGCTTTTTGCAGTCTGATGAATTAACAGCAGCCAAGCTCCAGCATATTTGGGCAGAACATTTTTACCTGCTCTACAGATACAGAGTGTTATTGAGCAGCATGTGTTGTACCTCCACGTATGTGTGTCATGGACTCCACAAAGGAATAACCCATCTCATGCAAGCTTTCAGGTACTGCAAAGTAAAAACAGCACAGAGCAATGAAAATTGATAGTAGTTATTAATTCCACATCTAATGAAGAAAATTGAGTTGAGCTGTGCACATAGCCATTGTTTATTGCCATGACAAATGTAATAGCAGCACCTTTATTAGCATTTCCCTACATATAAAACTGGGAGAATGTGCTGACAGTTTCTCCAAGTTTGCCAAATGTTACTGCTTAAGATAAGGGCTTCTGCTTCATCTGAGGAACACAACTTTTACCATCCTGAGGCCTCTTCGTAAAGTAATGGTAACAGTAAGTACAAGTCAAAAGAAGACAAGGTGTCACTGCACCACTCAGCCTGGTGTTATCAGCAAACATGATGAGGCTACACTCAATCCCATCTCTACGTCTCTGATCCAGATAATGAAGAGCAAAGGTCCAAAGACAGATCCTCAGGGGATACCACTCGTGACCAGCCTCCAACTGGATACTGAGCTGTTGATAACAGCCCTCTGGTTACGACCACCCATCCACTTCTTTGTCCATCTAATAGTCCAGCCTTCAAATTTATACCTCTCCAATTTAGAGATAAGGATGTGGTGAGGGACCACACCAAAGGCCTTGTACAAGTACAGGTAGATAACATCAGCTGCCCTTCCTTTGTCCATTGATGCTGTCACTCCATCACACAAGCCCACTTGACTGGTGAGCTGTGATCTGCCACTGGTAAAGCCATGCTGGCTGTCTCGTGTCACCTCCACAACTCACATGTGCCTTAATATGTCTTCCAGGAGAATCTGTTCCATGATCTTCTCAGGCACAGAGGTGAGGCTCACCAGCCTGGTGATCCCCAGGTCCTCCTTTCTCCCTTTCCTGAATATGGAAGCAATGTTTCCCTTTTTCCAGTCATTAAGGACTTCAACTTACTGCCACCATTTTTAAAATACGATAGAGAACAGCTTGGCAAACACATCAGCCAGTTTCCTTAGGATCCTGAGAAAAATATTTAACAATGGGAAAGCATGAATGCAGTCCCCCACTACCACAAATGGCACAGTCGAGTTTCCCATTATCTGGGGAAATTCCAGGGATCAGCACAGCCAGAGTGCAGGGGATGAGCCTCATCCTGGGAAGACCACCTGCCTGAGCACAGTGTCTCCCCTGCCAGGTGAGTGCATTTCTGTGAGGTAATTTCTAAGGCATTATGCAAAACCATGGTAATGACAGCTCAGCACACAACAGCAGTTAAAGTGAGCACCATATTAGCAGTGTAAGTATTAACGATCTGACACTTGTTTATGTTCACAGCAATGCAGGCTCTGTGCAAGTGTTGAGTGCTATCAGAAGCAGCCCAGCCAAATGCGCAAGCCCCACATACTGCCCCACCCAACATTTTTTTAAAAATCCCCAAGCTTTGAATGACTCCTAGTACTCAATCTCAGAGTGTCTGGCAGGAAAAGAGAATTTTGGAGATGGCATACCATCAATTTTCTTCATTTGTGTCAGAAGTTGAGCAGCTGTCTTCTTACCAGACTGAAGTGGAGCCAAAAACCTTGTCAGGCAGCTTGAAGAAAAAGCACTTCAGAGGAACTAATCTCAAAGACCCAAAAGTATGTATCACGTTTTTGAACAGGCATGTGTTAATATTACTACTACATTGTCGATTGGCAATGTTTTGCAAAAGCTCAGAAATAGTGGAAAAAAAGACTGCTCCATTTGTTTACCCTAAGGAAAAGCAAGATGCCACGCATGCTTGAACCTTAGAGATTGTTTGTTTACTTACTTACGGCCAGGGAAAGGTTTCTAGCATTACCTTCCCTACGGTGGTGAGGAAAGCAAGAGGTGCACCTGGACCTTCTGTGGCAAGCAGATCTCAGATGCAGAAAGTTCTGTTACTCCTCAGGCACTGCAGACACATCAGCAAGAGATAAACAATCCCAGAGAGATCTGTGCTGGAATCAGCTCACTGCTCCTGTGGCCACAGATTGGGACAGACTGGGAAACCCCAGCTCACGGTCTGGTTTTCTTCAGCACATTCTCCAGTAACTGCGTGCTGGGCTGCAGGGTGCTCTAAGTCAACCTTAAGAGAGAAGCTCTGTGCTCACCAGCACAAAGTATACATGAGGGCAGAAATCACACTCAGCAGCTCTTCCCAGAGGAGCTTTCCCAGGTGGGATTTATCACCACACGGCACAGTTTGGTCACACTGAGCCTCCTGCCCTTGCTGCTCATCCTCCAGCCCTGAGCAAGGCTGGCCTCCTCCCATAGGCACGTCCTCATCTAAAGCACTGGGATCCCAATGTTCACTAAGCATAGCTCAAATATTTTGGGGTCAGCTTCACTTAAAAATCCCCATTCTGCATGCTCATGGAAGGATTTTGGGGGCACAGGATAGGGGAAGGCTGGTGTGTGTGTTTGGCCACAGCAACGAGACTTGGGATTACTCTCAGGTTTTGGAGCTGACCACAGCAGGCTGTTGTTTAATTACATTTTTATTCCGGGGGGTGAGCCTGTCATTCACTGACCATATAAAGATAGAGGTGTCAAAGACAAAGATAGAATTTAAATGACTGACTGAATGAAGAAATAAATAAGCAGACGCTGAGGATCCTGCTTGGCTAGCCATCTTCTTTCAGCCTGCCTTTCCCTGCTATGTTTATTTACTACACAACCAGGCTTTTGGCAGCCTTCCCATTGCAAAGTGTGCTGCCCAGATATTACAAAGTGAACTCCGCTCAATGAAGAAGTCTTTTTTCTTAGGGCCACCCTTTTCTGTACAGCCATCCCTATCCTCCAGAGCTGTGCCTCTAAAATGCAATTTCCTTCCACAATTTCCAGAAAACTCCCTTTCAGAGCGATGTGTTTATAGGCTGTTACTAAAAATGAGATTTTCTATATGATCTTCAGCAAACTCCTTCAAACAGACATTTTTGCTTCCTCCATTTACAAAGAAAAAAGAGCTTCCCTTACAATCTACAAATGCAAACGAATCAACCTGCAGGAAAATTCACTGCTGTTGTATTTTTAACATCTTTAAATTAAAAAGAAAAAAAAAAAAAAAAGGTCAATTGAATATATATATAACAGCTCAACAGTATTCTGGTGTTGCATGTTTCCTTCATGCTAAACACACAAAAAAACAATGGAAAACAATGACAATGTGAATAACTGACGTTCTCCTATTTCAATATACATGTATTCAACTTTTTTTCACAGGAAGGTTTCAGCTGTGATTAAGAGCTGTGGAAATCCAAGAAATATAAATGCAAAACAGTAAGAAAATAGCAGGTCTTAGGTAGTTCTCCAGCATTCCAACTGAGATCCTCAGATTAGCATTTGCAGACTGTATTAAGCATATCTAATAGAAAGGCAATACGTCCTGCACAGCTCTCTACAAATATTATCAAGATGGAAATGCCTACTGACAAATTCACAAGCTGCAAATGTACAGTCATGAAATTCAATAGCCTCACAGCTGCACACTTGTAACTTGTGAATGCAGAAAAATGTCTGAATTGGCAGCAGGCTTTCTGGCAGATGATATCATTTTACAGATGACACTGTAGAGTCTGCCAGTTTGACGTTGAACTCTCCTCTTGCTTTTCTCATGTTGTTGTTTCTTAGCTCTTTCTCTGAGAACGACTTAGGAGCACTGTGCCTGTTCTCATAGTCTGCTATTTGCTTGTTCTGACTCTGCAAAGTGCTGCAATTGCTCAGCTCTGTTCCCTCGGTTCTGCTCGTGCCTGGCTGACATTGAACCGTGTTCTTTGTGCAAAAAGTTTGCCTTTCTTTCCTGTATTTCTCAGTCACCAAGTGCCCTATTCCACTGTTTTTTCCCACTATTTAGAGTAACTGCAAGTGACCACCCTCTATGAACATTCAAAATGAATGTGTCATGCATAATACTCGTAATCTGCATATTTCAGACCACTTAGAGAGAAGGAAGCATTCCTTAGAAAAGGCTACAAGAGGCTGTTGCACTGAGTGCCAAGCAAGCCTGACTCCATCCTAAGCTCAATGGCATCAGAGCCTCTCCAAAAAACCCTATAATTAAGTACTTCTCAGTACCTCACAGTCACACCTAAAGTAATTCTTAAGGAACTATTAGGATGACATCAGGATGGGCTGTCTGCTCTTTTCTGATGTAGTTCAACTCTTAAATTCTCTCTTGTTTGCTTACTTTCTTTCTTGCTTACTTTCTTGCTTGCTTACTTTCTCAGCTTTATTTCTTATGGTTGGTTTCATGATGCTGCTCAAAGTGTCTGAGAGCCAGACTAGATCCTGCACTGCAGCTATTGGGGCTGGCCAAGCACTTTGCATCTTTTTTAGCAGATGCTTGCTCACTTAGGCTGAGCATAAAAGCCTGCCAGCCACTCTCTTCAACACAACTCTAAGAGCATTTTTCCCACTTTACACCTCTGCTCATCTCCTCTGAACTCGGTACAACTGCAGGAACTCTGCAGGAATCTACAGGTAAATGACCAGAACCCTATCTGATGCTTTACAGAAAGTATTACTTTGCAGTCGATACTCGTGCTCAGGAATTACTGAGCAAAGATCTGTAGTGGTGTATATACCTCACAAATATTTATCACAGTAAAAGACACTATAGACTCACAGACTCACAGAATGGCCTGTGTTGAAAAAGACCACAGTGCTCATCCAGTTCCAACCCCCCTGCTATGTGCAGGGTCACCAACCAGCAGACCAGGCTGCCCAGAGCCACATCCAGCCTGACCTTGAATGCCTCCACTAGAAAAATATTATTGATGATTTAGCACTGTCAAATGTGGCTTTAACTGGTCTCTCTGTACAGGTTGTTAATCTCTTACAGTTAAAGCTCCCTTCAATCACTAAACCCTGGAGCAACACTTCTCAAAGCATCCAGCATGCAGTAGCTCCCCATGTTCTGCTTAGAAAAATTCACCCTGCTTACAAGAAGAATGGAATAATACTTGCCACAGTCTGAAAAACAGACCCTAGAAACTTGGAAAAAGTTCTAATTCTGGAAGCATCTATAATACCCTTAACAATTGCAGTGGTCCACAAAACACTTTCAGGGGAAACGTTCAGGTTACTGTGTGCAGTAAGAAATGGAGAGGGAAGAAAAGCGGAGAGGGAAAATGAAGAGAGATGAGAATTATCTGCTCGTCCAAAGAAACAACTCTAAGAGTAATTCTCTGAGAGAGAAAGCAAAGTGCTGTGCAATACCTCAGTCTGAATTACACCACCGACCTCCCATGGGGAGCTGTGATGAGGGTGATTTCCTGCACTTCCCTGCAGCTGCAAGAGAGCAAAGCAAATAGGCTCCTTGGAGATCTCCATGAGAGGTGCATGGGAAATGCTTCCTCTGTGCCCTGTTCTCTGGCCCAGAAGAAAGAACAGGACGGAGACTACCTAAAAATTGAAAAAGCTGCTGATTAACCTCAACTGTTTCCCATTTTCCCCTCTTAATTCGCAGTGAACAAGAATCACCCTCCGCAGTCCCTTCCTCGCCATTCTTTGGGGTTTTGACACTGAAACAGGATGGAAAAATTTTTTCCTTGAAAGTTGGCTGAAAATACACAGGATATGCATTTGCTTAAGGAGACGTTACACACCCAGCTGGAGAACAGTTCATTCCTAAACCCTTTCCTAAGACAGCAAATACACAGAAGCATTACTTCTCCCCCTCTCTTTTTATCTTTTTCGAGAACTGTTGCACAATCCGCTGTTTCACAGAACCAAGCATTCATCACTTCTAAGGCTTGTTTTTCATTCTCCCTGAAAGGTTTAACTTTCCCTTCAAACTTTGTACGTCATTCTCATCAAATCATACACACAAAAAAAGTGCATTAAGTGCTTTGTTTACTCATAACTTGGCAGAGCCACAACAAAGAACAGAATGTAAAGAATGAACTCTCTTTGCAAAAGTCATTCATAAGGAAACAAAAGCCTTTACCTTCCCTAGTCAGACTTTCTAAGTGGGCCTCATATGGTTCTGAATCGCCCAGCATTACAGTGACCTCCCAGACGACTAAGAGCCATTTGAAAGCCAATCTAAAAACAGAAGGAATGAGAAAGTTCTCGCAGATCTGATTTTCTCATTAAAAGAGCATTAAGAAAATATGCGCCGTTCAATGCTGCAATCCGAACGAGCCACCGCTTTCCCTGTAACGTGTAGCAACCTGCTGAAT